ATTATATTTCATTCTCTCAAAGTATAATAATTAAAATGGTCGTTCGTATATTTTATTTTTCAAAAAATGATCATATACATAAAAATCTATGTTTTTTTCTCTATCATTTGATATGCATTTTGTTTTATAATTTTTAAAATTTACATTACCGAACACTGTACAAATAATATATATACAGATATAAACCATTGTAGAGATATAGACCACTGTACAGATATAGACCACTGTACAGATATATACCACTGTACAGAAGACCACTGTACAGAAGAATGTCTGTACAGATATAAACCACTGTACAGATATAAACCATTGTACGGAAGACCACTGTACAAATACATATATAGACCACTATACAGATATAGACCAATGCTCATTAATGTTTGTAATGTAGTAATATTTACTATTCAAAATTGGAGAATTAGTCAGTTTGTACTGTACAGAAGAATGACTGTACAGAAGAATGACTGTACAGATATAAACTACTGTAAAGAGAGATACATCTGTACAGAAGGATACATCTGTACAGAAAGATACAGCTGTACAGAAGGATACATCTGTACAGAAAGATGTATGTGGAATGAAGATTTGAGCACAAATAATTATATGTTTAAGTCCACAAATAATTATAGAAAGATACAATCATTATATTTGTACATGTTTCTAGCTGGACGGATATATTTCCTTCCATATGTTTAAAACGAGTTCATTATTTTAAGTCCATTGAATCTCTCTCTCTTTCCTGTTTTTCAAAACCTATGAATACAAAAAATAATCCAGTCCATTGAACACAGGAAGCTTCTTCTTGTTGCAGCCTTCTTAGTTTTATGTTTCAAAACATCATTCATGAACCAATCTTCTCAAAACAAAACAGTTTCATCCTAAACACAAGCACAACTCCGATTCTGAAACATTCTAGAATGGTTACTAAAGTTTTAAAAACAAAACAGTTTATCCGTTCTAAAGTTTTAATGCTTGATGTCAACATAGATTATGTTCGATCACTCCAGAATCAAATCGAGGTTAGGCCATTTTACTCTTCAAAAATATCCATTAACTTTTTATATATAACAACCCAATGATAATATATATGTTAATAATTAAATGTCTTTCTGCTTTGCCTCGTGTTAATAATTAAATGTCTTCCTTCATCCTCTCCTAAAATTTAAAAAACAAATCCATTTTACTATGAGAAATCAAGTTTTGAGATTGAGCTCACAATATGATTATGACTCTCTTCAATGTTGAAATTTTTGTTAAACAGTCATATTCTTGGATGATTAGAACGCATATATAAATGAGTTGAAAGGTCTCCAAACCTAACAAGAATTACCATAGATATAAACAACAAAAAGCTTCTTCTGCCCTTTGGCTTCAAATATAGCTTCTGGAACAAAACCCTTGAACGTTAGAGAAGACAAAGCTTCCATATGTAAATCAAATAATCCAAATTAAGTACACTCAAAAAGGTTACTGGAGATGAATCAGAAACTTTGAACCCTAAATTCAATGAATTATACAATGAATTCCATAAATCCATAGCTAGATCCGATCAAACCCAGGAGCCTAATCAAATTAAATTAGCAAGAAATAGAGAGATCCACAATTTTTTTTATTTACCTGCTCCAATCAAATCTTCAACTCTCTCCACCACCAAAATTCTACCCAGAAAGCTACAAGTAGATCTTGGTCTCCGTAGATCTTGACACCGAGTCGTTGACAAGGAGAATCCCGACCGTTATTAGTACTGTAATCTCCTTTCCTATGCGCATGTTGAATCGTCAATGGAATCGGAGATTGAAAATTTTGCATAGGAATAGTCACAGTGAAGGTGTTTTTAAGGCATAAATTCAAATCACCTCTGAAGAACGGCAATGGAGTCGTCGGAGTCTCGGAGAAGATGAAGAGAATAAGAGTGAAAGAGATTTTAACCAAAAAAATAAGAGTGAAAAAAATAGAGTCTTTGTCTAAGCCCAGATCTAAAAAATGATGATCTTTACTTTAAAAATCAAAGATCCAAGAAAACATGGATTGTTCTTTTGTTATAATAAAATCTGAGAAGATGATAGAAGAATAAAAAAAAAAAGTTTGTTGTAATTGAGTTGGAGAAGACGATGGAAAGGGAAAAATAAATAAAGATTTGTTTTTTTTGTTTTTTTAAAAAAATAAAGACAATGGCATGGAGAGGTAAATAATCAGTTTTTTGGATGGTAAAAGGGTCAGTGGCAAAAAAAACTACAGCAGCAAATGATGAGTTTGCCAATTGTAAATAGTGTATGTACTGCTTTTCCAATTATCTTTGGAAAACGTACTATATTGCCAATTATCTCTAAAACTAAACATATATTGTTAGTTTATTAAGGATAACATTATTAGCTAGAAAACATAGAGTTAGTTTAACAATATAAGTATTAGTAATTTAGTACAGTATATTACTTGTTACCAATACGCATCCAGGATCCATACGCATGTGTATTGATTATCTTTTGCAATATGTGTTTTCATAATTAGCTTATTCTATAAAGTAAACTTTTGGAGATTAAAATAATTAATAGGCGTATATATAAGATATGTAGTTGTTAACAAAGAGTATGTATACGATATCGATATGTAATGTTTTTTCCTTACGTATGATAGTTTGGTTTAATTGTCTCCACAATTTTATACAGTCAGATTTCACTTTCATTATCATCAAAGTCTCGCCTCCATTTTTATCAAAAGAAAATAAAAAAGTCACGCCCCAATACTCTAATCCCAACCATCCATTAAGGTAGGTCCACGATGGACCCGGCTAACAAATTGTTAATTTTGATTTGATTTTGGAATTTTGTGTTACGTTGACGCTCTCTTTGATAAATATGTTGACATTTGGATCAGATAAAATGACAAGGGACAACGCAAACGGTGTCGTAGTCTCGCAGAGATGTTTTTCCATATTGTCCCGGTCGTATGTACTGACGTGGCTCTTTTTTTTTTTTTTATAACTTACTGACGTGGCTCATAAACGAAAGAAAAACGATACAAAAAATACATTGGGATGTTAAAATATCACTTCTTGGAGAAGTATTCTCTTTGGTAGAGATCTTCTTATCAAAGGTTTACAGAAAAGGGTTGGAAATGGTAATTCTATCAAGGTATGGTTGGAGCCTTGGTTAGAAGATGGTATTATGAGGATTCCATGGATTAAAAATTCCATTATTGACTTAGAACTTTCGGTCAACGACCTTATTGATTTTGAGAGAAGGGACTGGGATCCCCAAAAGCTTGATGAGCATTTCTTTCCAGATGATATTATCAAGATAAAGAGAAGAAAGCCTGTTGTTGACCTGGATGATTTTTTCGTGTGGAAACACAACAAGAATGGAGACTTTTCTGTTAAATCAGCCTATTGGTTAGCAAGTGAGATTAATAGGGCTGCGATCATATCTCAAGCTGATGTCCAGCCATCCATTAACACCTTAAAAGCTCAGGTATGGAAGCTCACCACCGATCCCAAGATTAAAGTCTTTCTTTGGAAAGCACTCAGTGGTGCTTTAGGGGTTACTGATCAGCTTCTGCATAGAGGAATGAAACTAGATGGTAGATGTCAAGCCTGTGGTTTTGAAGGAGAAAGTATTAACCATGTCTTGTTTGAATGTTCTGTTGCGAGACAAATCTGGGCTATTTCTGATTATCCTTCTCCTGAGAATGGCTTCAATAAGGGAGCTGTTTTCTCCAATATTCATCATCTCCTTGTTAATAAAGATAACAAGTCTTGGCCAAGCATTATTAGGAAGAGCTTTCCTTGGATTTTATGGCGAATCTGGAAAAATAGGAATCTTTTGTTCTTTGAGGGCAAATCTTTTGATGCTAGACAATCTGTGATAAAGATTCAAGAGGATGTTAATGAATGGTTTTCGGCTCAACGGGGGATGTTTTGGTGGAGCCCCCTGCCCGAGATTTGTTCTCTTCCACGGATGGCTTTGTTGCCTCAGCAGCCCAGTTTCATGCTCAGCTTGAACCATTACCAATCTGGAAACCTCCTCTTAGTGGTTGGCTGAAATGTAATGTTGGAGTGTCTTGGTCTAAAAGGAATAATCTGGCAGGTGGTGCCTGAGTTCTTAGGGATGATGGTGGGAGAGTCTTGTTACACAGCCGCAGATCTTTTATTGATGTTAACAACAAAGATCAGGCGGTTTTTTTGAGTGCTCTTTGGGCTTTGGAAAGTATGATTAGCCACAGATGCTCAAAAGTAGTCTTTGCCCTGCAGGATGTTTCTCTGATTGGTGTCATTTTGCGACCGATTGCTTGGCCTTCCTTCAGGTATGAGTCAATTGAGTTACTTCGCTGTTTGGGTCATTTTTTGGAGTGGAGTGTTGTCCTTGAGCTTCCACTAGCTAACAGAGGAGCCTATCTCTTGGCTCAAAGTGTAACGTCGGACTGTCGTCTCAATTCTTATGTTGCTTCGAGTTATCCTACTTGGTTATATGGCTTATTTGAATGTGAGAGATTAGCTTCCCCTGTCTAAGCTTTTTGTGATGTTTCTCGAATAGGTTGGTTTGTCTACTGCCTTATTCTTTTGTAAAGGCCATGTTCATATAAATGGCTTAGAATAGTAGTTTGTTTGGTTCTTGACCTTCTTTCGTCTGTGAAAATGGTCTTTTTTGTAAACCATCTTTATATTTATCCAGATGACAGAAAAAAAAGAAGTTAAAATATCACTTCTTTATGGCAACTAACATCACAAAGAAAACATGTGTCAAAAGTTTGTGTAATTAATGTTACCGATATACATAATATATCTACTATGCAGATTAAAGTTGTTTTTCTTGATTAAATTTAAATGTATAAATACGTAAGTTAATACGTGAATGGAAATCAAGGCTAGAAACCATATATGTAGAGAGACCTAACTATCTCTCGTGTCACAAGCTAGTTATTTCAAAACTATTGTATACTTTACTTAAATCTTTTCAAAAATATCTACTATACATTTTTGCAGCAGTTTTTGGGGTACCCAAATCGGGTCAAATTTGTTTAATTTTGACCCGGAAATCTTCAATCGGATCTTTCCTTAAATTTTGGCAAAATTAAAAAACGAAAATAATTAATAAAATCTAAAATATATATACTTTCTCAACTAATTACTATATTTAAACGCTTTATTTATGGTATATTCTCCACGATTTTTATAGATAAAGAAATCAAATATGATGATTTAATGCTAATATAACAAATTTGCACTAATTTCCTAAAATCTCTCTACCTAATTTAAACATAAATATATGATTCTTATTTCACTTTTATTTGATCTTATATTTATATTATTTTAAATTATTATAAAATATATAAATAGTTAGTAAATTTTAGTTTTTTTTTCTGCATATGTTACAATTCAAATTTTTTAAAACGGACATATATTACTCAATCGATGAATAAAAATATGTGTGTAATCTATATTAACATTTTTAAGAACAAATTGAGCATTTAATCATGTCGTTATTTTATTCAGACCCGAAATTGAGTCATTCGGATCTTTCTTTAATTTTTACAATTATCTAAAATGGGACAGTATATCACGGGTGAAATCCTAATTAGTATTTTAAGATACAATTATAAATTGTTTTTACGGGTTGGTCCAAAAACACACACTAATTTAAAAATATACATGGAAACTATTTGAAAGCAACTTTCAAATTAACTCGAATTATATGACATTTAAATAAAAGTGTTATTAAAAAAATAACAAAATGATGTTTAATTTCATTTTAGATTATATGGTTGGACGAGTTTGGGTCAATATTAATACGAGACAATATACCACAGGTGAAATCCTATAAATAACAAATCAAAATACAATTATACAATCTTAAACACTAAACAAAACAAATACAACTTAAAATTTTTTATTTTAGATACAACGCATGTGACCCGCGGTATACAACAAAAAATATTATACACAATAAATTCATCAATTTATAAAAATAAAAAAATTAAATAATTAACCCGCGGTGTACCGCAGGTCATATCCTAGTTTACTTAATAATAACACAATCAAGTTTTTAATGATTCTTCTCATCTTTATTTGCAGATGGAAAACAAGATTCTTAAGGAAATGGATTAGATACGAGCAGAGAGACTGAGAGAGCATAGTCGAGGATTAAATTCTATGTGTGTTAATTTCTCAGATGAGATTCTGAACACTCATAAACGAAAAGAACATGATAAATTCGTGTTATGATATAGTTAACAAAAAAAAAAAAAAAAAATCGTGTTATGATATTATTAAAGACTGCGGATACGTTTTAAAACAAAAATTGAAATCCTTTAATTAAGCAACATTTTAAGTTGATTTTTGGAACGTAATACACAAACCCAAATAGTTGATTTAGTTTTGATTTTTGGAACGTAATACACAAACCCAAATAGTTGATTTAGTTTTAGTTTTTATTTTTATAAGATATATATATATATATATATATATATAATGTTTAGTTTTTAGAGAAATTGTTAAAAATGCCCATTTTTCAATACCCCTTTTCAAAAATGCCCCCTTTGAGAGTCAATTTTTAAATTTGCCCTCTTTTAATTTTTAATGAGCATTTTACCCTTATTTGAAACAAAATTAGGTCCACAAAATACAAAATATTTTTTGGCGGGAAAAGTGATCCTACAATTTTCCCGCCAAAACACTTGTAAGAACCTATAAAATACCTTGTAAAATTTTCCCGTAGAAATTTTTCCCGCCAAAAATTTTTTATGAAGGAAAAGTTATTCC